GTAACCTTTTATATTAAGTAACTTTATTAACTTAAAAATAACAACCTGCAATTGAAATATTAAAAAAAAAAAGAAATGACTAGTTTTGACCATAGAGCTACATCAGATGTCAGTTAACTGAATATATCTTTCCAGTGGTGTAGCAAGGGAGGGCAGTCACCCCTGGGCATAGGTGTAAAGGGGCACAAAATTTCCTCTGGCCTATAATGCCTATTAATTAATAATTATGCCCTCTCTTAGGATATAGCGCAACTGTCCTGTGTTAAGTAAATATGACACAGTGTTACATTATTTGTGTGTATTGCGCTTGCACTTTTAACTTTTAAAAGCCGCCCACTGAAATACAGTGAGACTGAATTGACGTACAGAAGTAAATTACACTATTCCATCATTCATCTGTAGATCAAATACAAGTCCTAGATTACAACGTACAAGTAAGTGTATGTTCAACAAAAAGAAAATTCGAGATTGATGTAACATATTAACTGGTGTGCAAGATTGGCAATATATGCAACAGGCAAGGCCTAGATCTAGTAAACATTATAGGCCTAATGTAGTGGTTTGTAATTGTATTGGCTGATTGTAAATCATGTCTTACACCAACTAATGTACTAGGAAAGTAGGTCTAATTGCAGTTATAACTTTATTTCTAGACCCTAGGTCCATCATCATACAAATTGTAGCCTATATTATAGGCATACTTAGACCTATACTATTAAACAAGGTATTGCACTGGAACAGATCTAATGACTAAGTTAATAGATCTAGATGTAACAGTTGTTCTAAAAGTTAGGCCTAATGAATCTAAATCTAGAATTGATGAGGCAGGGTTATATCTAGATCTGGGTAGATTTAATACAAGGTGCTTTCAATCTATGCAACCAAATCTGAGGTCTAGTTTAGATGTATAAAGCTAAATTTCTGTCATTTTTATTACATTTAGATCCAAACCCAAGACTAAAAAAAGGGAAATAACAGGTCTAACATTAATTTTAGATCTAGATGTACTAGCGACCTAATCTAGGAACTGTAATCTAGCACCACTAATTAGTTAGCTTATATTTAAGTTTTCTCATTCTATCAAACCTTTAATATTAAATATAGCCTTTGAGCCTCTAGGCTTATATTATGTTATGATTACACCCTTCTTCACAATGTGTGTAATTTTCATTCAAGCAATTTCAGACTTGTCTCCTGTAGTGTTCGTGTAGTTAAACCTATCGAGTTTTTAAACACGATTTAGCAACTGCCACTAATTTATATGTTGCTCATACGCATGATTCACCAGCATATACACTCATCTGCATTGATTTTCTTACTGTTGTGTCACATTAATTAACATGAGTATGGGTGGTCTAACTAATGGCAGTTAAAGTGCAACCAGGTCCAGATGTGCCTAACTAGTCCTGAGTTGCAACTATAATTGTATAATTTAAATATAATTTGTGGTTAGGAACTTAGGAAAGTAGAATTCTTCCTTTAATCTGACAATTTGCATGTTGCAACTAAATAATGTAGTCAGTATTTATTAATTTATTCTTTGAGCCCATTATGTCGAAAAAAGAAAGTGGGGCACAGGGACGCAAAAGACGTGCACAATTTACAGCTTCAAGGTGGAGTCAAGCAAATTGATGAGAGCTTTTTTTGCTGGACGTGATGACACCAGTAAGCCAGCATCTGTTCCTTTTGATGGCAGCAAAGAGGTCAAAGTGCAAGATTGTGAACATACTATTTTATATGAAAAAGAAAGCAACGAAGAAACTGTTCTCTGTCTTATTGATGCCACAATAAAAATAAACAAGAGTATTCCACTTTGTCAGAAACAAATCCAAAGAATAGTGTTGCTAAGCTAAAAGAGGATGACCTAATAAATATCTTAACACACGTGGATATTAAATTTATGAAATCTGATACAGGCTAAGCAGTTGTAACACATACACATCACACAGAGATAGTTAAAGTTGTAGTATATGAATTTCAACATAAAGAAGGTCCATTTGATGCCAAAGGTGGGCGTTCTATGCTGCATTTTGGTTCAAACGACGCCTTCTGAGTGGACAAGAAGTCAATCATTCCTGGTTGGTGTATTCACCTCTACATAAAGCAGCATACTGCTTTTGTTGTCTTCTTTTTTCCCCGATAGTCGATCTGCTTTCAAAACACAGGGTGGATTCTCTAAGTGGAAAAAAATTGAAAAGTTAAATGCCCATAAAAATAGTGACATTCGTTTGAGGTTATATCCTCAGTATGACCACGAAATGCAAGATTCTGAGAAGCTGAATATTGTGTACAATCCAGCAACCGTTGAAGTACATCTCTCCATTTATTCATTCTGCTGAATTTGCCTTTGCAGCTCTTCATCAATGCCACTTTGAAGACGAATTCGGCGCTCAGTTTCTTTCCAAGCAGCAAATGAAAACCCTGGAAATTTCTTGTCACTTTTGCAGTTATTAGCAAAGTATGATCCAGTAATGAGAGAGCATTTAGAGCATGTTAAAATCAAGCAAACGTCAACATCTTATATTTCTCCTGAAATCCAAAATGAGTTTATAAATCTCATTGCTTCACATGTGCGAAATTATTGTTTGTCAGCAATTCGTAGAAACAAATACTATGGTATTCTGTTTGATTCCACACCTGATATAGCTCATCGTGAGCAATTGGCCCAAGTGATTCAATCTGTGGACATTGACTTTAAGACAAGAAAAGTAGAAGTCAAAGATTCATTTATTCACTTTATACAGATAAAGGAAAAAGACGCTGCCAATATTGAGAAAACATTAAGCACAAACTTAGGAGCAGATGGAATTTTATTGAGTGATTGCTATTCGCAGTGTTATGATAATGCTTCTTTCATGCCAGGTCATCTGTCACACATTCAACAAAGAATTATGAACAAAAATCCAAAAGCATAAACTGTGACAACCATAGTTTGAACTTAGCATGTCTTCATGCTGCAAGTCAGGAAACAACAGATATTACCTTTTTCGGTATAATTGAAGCCATTTATAATTTCGTTGCTCATTCAACAACTCGATGGGACGAACTGTTTGCAAGCGTGAATCAGAAACACGGTGGATTGCAAGAGAAAAGGCAGTAAAAGTTTTACATGAAAAACTGGATGAATTGCTAGGA